ATGAATTCTGAAGTGTTTCGGGCAATATTATCTGCTCATATTCAGCCAAATGCTTCAGAACTCATTGGACGCCGCTTCACAGTGCAGATGGACAATGACCCAAAGCAGACTGTAAAAGCAACCAAAGAGTTTTTTAAGGGAAAGAAGTGGAATGTTATGCAATGGCCAAGTCCATCACCTGACCTGAATCCGATTGAGAATGCATTTCACTTGCTGAAGAAAAAACTGAAGGGAAAATGCCCCAAGAACAAGCGGGAACTGAAGACAGTTGCAGTAGAGGCCTGGCAGAGCATCACCAGGGATGAAACCCAGCGTCTGGTGATGTCTATGCCTTCCAGACTTCAGGCTGTAATTGACTGCAAAGGATTTGCAACCAAGTATTAAAAAGTGAAAGTTTGATTTATGATTATTATTCTGTCCCATTACTTTTGGTCCCTTAACAAGTGGGAGGCACATATGCAAACTGTTGTAATTCCTACACCGTTCACCTGATTTGGATGTAAATACCCTCAAATTAAAGCTGACAGTCTGCAGTTAAAGCACATCTTGTTTGTTTCATTTCAAATCCATTGTGGTGGTGTATAGAGCCAAAAATGTTAGAATTGTGTCAATGTCCCAATATTTATGGACCTGACTGTATTTTGGCTGATAACGTTCCCTGTGCACAAGTGACACTCCACGCACAGTTAGATTATTATGCAGACACGTCCGGGGATTGGTTAGACATGAAATATGAAATTCTACACTGATTGGTTCACAAGATCTACTTTTCTGCTTTCCTATGTATTCCAGCCAAGGAGAGTGACCTACCAAACTGTTTGTCTCCTCTTGGCCAATCTGACGATATGCCTGGTTTTTATGTAAGTCTTGGATATTCCAAGATATGAGACGGGAAAAATGGATTTTTAAAAGTGATATCTGGTCGTGCTTCTCTGGAATTTCTTTGAACTCCTGGGAAAGTTTGCGTTCTCTTTTTACGAAGTGCTAGGTTGCACAGGTTCTTTGTACAGTGAGGCCCCATCTCCCTTGGGGGTTTTATAGTCCATAGCCCCCTGCTGGGCTCTGGCCTCCTGTGACACTGCCAAACACACACAACCAGATGTCACTGTGGCTGAATAGAGAGTAAGGAGGGAAGAATGAGGGAGACACGGAGAATTCTTAACAAAATGGAGGGTTGGAGCAAAATGGTTGGAACCGCGTCCATCTCTGTGTGTACACTTGCTACAGGTACAATTTGGCCAAGACCGACGGGTTTCTGTACCAACGAGTCACTATTTTGTAAGTGGTCTCCTGGCATTTGTTGCACAGGGAGGATTTATGTGCAAAAAAGAGTATTCATTCCTTTTGGGAGTCAGAGAAAGTAACCTATAAGTCTTTCCCATTTAGCCAAGAAGGGGGGATCAGACTGAGTATGAAGTTCTAGAAGGCATTTGTAAGAAGTGTAGCAAGATCTTCGGATCGGGCCATCTCCCAGGCACAGCTCGAATGTGTGCAATTTTCTAGGGCAGTGGTGGGCAAACCTTTTTTTTCAACTGAGCCAAATCTCGCCAAAACCACGATTGAAATTTATTTTCAGAGCCACATTTTTAAAACTGAAAATTCATCCCCCCTATAGTAATTCATCCCCCCTATAGTAATTCATCCCCCCTATAGTAATTCATCCCCCCTATAGTATTTCATTCCCCATATTGTGTCAATTCACTTACCTTTGCTCCGCGAGTTCTTCTCGCCGTGTTCCCGCGCCGTTCTGGTCTTCAGGGCGGACTGTGAGAGGAGAGGAGTTCGTCACGCTGCCCCGCCTACATCCTGGCTGCCCCGCCTATATCCTGACAGCTGCAGAGTCCTGACTTTTGGGGCGGCCAGCCGCCCGAGAGGAGGGAGAGGGGAGCGGGCGCCCGGCACACAGAAGAGCCGCATTTAAGTTTGTAAAGAGCCGCATGTGGCTCGCGAGCCGCGGCTTGCCGACCACTGTTTCTAGGGAAAAGTGAGTGTTTAGGTAGAAGATGCAGGAAATGGGATAATTGGAGGGCCCTCCAACAATCCATAGAAGAAGTAGATGGATTGGGGAACAAAGTGCATAGTGTGAACCTTCCAGTGGGGCATAAAAAGTGATTAGCACGCAGCAGACCCTGAGATGACATGGAGCAAACATTGGAGTCATTGAGCCCGGGTAGAAATCCTGGGTGGCCTATTGGCATTATGTGGGAGGAGAGGCTCTCCAATGTGAAAAAATCTGTCCATATCAGCCAGCACAGGACCTATTAGCGGGTGAGTGCTAAGGTGGGATATGTGTTCCTTTCCTACCCATGGCAGTCCCGCAAGCTGAGCCCCAGCCTCATCCTGCTCCAATTTGACCCATAGTTTGTAAGTCTGGTGTCTACACCAGTCTACTATAGTCATTTTGAACTGCTGTATAATATGATGGGTCCGGAAAGCTGGAAAACCTACTGAGGCATAGGTGTTTACCATGCCAGATAAACTGAATGAAAGCAGAGCCCACAGAGTGGAAGAAAGCTTGCGGCAGTTTAACTGGTAGGACCTACAGTAAGTATAACAACCTGGGCATAACTTTCAGTATGTTACAGTGACCAAATGACGATAAGGCAAGGGAATCCCATTTCTTTAAAACAGCAGATAAAGCAGTCAGGAGAGGTTTAACGGTCAGGGAATAGATTGCGTATAGATGCGCAGGTATTTTGGTCCCCAAGTATTGTATTGACTGCATAGCCCGTTTAATTGGAAAGTGACAGCAGACCTATTTGGTGCAAATAGGAGATTTCAAGTGAAGAACTTTTGTACCCACTGTGAAGCATGGTGGTGGAAATATAAATGGGGTTAATGTGCTGCATGAGGGTTTGGACAGCTTGCATCTTGAAGTCGGCTATGAATTCTGCATCATACAAAGTGTTTGAGAATGAGGCCATCTTGTCTTGAACCACGAATAGATTTTTTTAGTAAATTGATTCCAAGCATACTAGAAAATCCTTTCAACATTCCTTCCAAAGAAGTAGAGAGTGTTGGACTAGATTAGTCAAAGCCCTGATTTGATTCCCATTGAAATGTTATTGGAGGATTTAAAATGGAATGTTCATGCAAGAAAACCCGCAAACTTCTTGCAACTGAAGGAAATTTGCATGGAGAAGTGGTCAAACATTTCAAAACGTGTCTGAGACTATGGGCAGTTATGCAGTACACCTACAAGAAGCCATTTCTGCTTAAGAGGGCAATACCAGCTTCAAAGACCAAGGGTGTACTTACTTTTACACCGTACACATTTACATCTATTGACATTTATGTTGCATAAATGATTTCCCTATGTGTTTTTATTTAAGAATATCACCTTTTACCGGTAAACTCTGTTTCAATGATGATCTAATATTTGCCTGTTCAAATATGTCGCAAAATCAACAATTTCCATTCGGTGTACTAGTTCACACAACCTTATATTAAGCAGACCGTTTGTTTCAAACTGAATGTTTCAAAACAATATCTATTTTAACAATCTAGCCCATTCAGTCTGTACATGCCTGTTGTATTGCCGGAGAATGTATTGAGGTATTCTTTTTATTGTTACTGTTTTGTGCAGTGTGCAATTCTATCACCGGCCTTCAAAGTTCGAGAGTTTTCAGTGACAGATGTAGTACCTTATCCCATCTCCTTGAAGTGGAGCACCGAATTAGACGAGGCTGAAGGGTAAGAAGTGATGACTTCCCACTGATAGTTCTTATACATCTAGTCCAATTCTTTTTTTGGTGTTATTAAATTAAACTTGAACACCAGGAAGATGGCTAAGGCATAAATAATGCAGCTTGGAAATCATTAATACATAAAATGTATTTATTTTTAGTCCAACCAGTGTAAGTAACTGAAATCTGACTTGGGGAGAAGCAGCACAAGAAGCCAATCGGGTGTGTGCTGCAGTGCTAGAGGCCTGCTGATAGGAGGAGAAAGTAGATCAAAAGGAGAAGCAGTGCAGTGATTAGTTCATCTGTGACTGTCCTTTCCCAAGGTGTGGGTGACGTTGGGACCTGTTGGTGAAGGTAGCCATGCAGCAGAAAAAGATCTACTTCTTAACTAGACAGGCTTGTGCTATGGGGCAGAGTTTTGTGAATCCCAGGACTGGGTGTACAGAAATTCAAATACTTTGGCAGCTTTCGTATACTGTATGTATATACAGTATCCCAGAAGTGGGTACACCCCTCACTTTTTTGTAAATGTTTTTTTTTTTCTATCTTTTCATGTGACATGTAAATTTGCTGTCCCCTCAGAATAACTCCACACACAGTCATTAATGTCTAAACCGCTGGCAACAAAAGTGAGTACACCCCTAAGTGAAAATGTCCAAATTGGGCCCAAAGTGTCAATATTTTGTGTGGCCACCATTATTTCCAGCATTGCCGTAACCCTCTTGGGCATGGAGTTCACCAGAGCTTCACAGGTTGCCACTGGAATCCGCTTCCATTCCTCCATGACGACATCATGGAACTAGTGGATGTTAGAGACCTTGCGCTCCTCAACCTTTCGTTTGAGGATGCCCCACAGATACTCAATAGGGTTTAGGTCTAGAGACATGCTTGGCCAGTCCATCACCTTTACTCTCAGCTTCTTTAGCAAGGCAGTGGTCGTCTTGGAGGTGTTTGGGGTAGTTATGTTGGAATACTGCCCTGCAGCCCAGTCTCCAAAGGGAGGGGATCATGCTCTGTTTCAGTATGTCGGCATTTATGGTTCCCTCAATGAACTGTAGCTACCCTGTGTCGGCAGCACTCATGCAGCCCCAGACCATGACACTTCCACAACCATGCTTGACTGTAAGCAATACATACTTGTCTTTTGTACTCCTCACCTGGTTGCTGCCACACATGCTTGACACCATCTGAACCAAATAAATTTATCTTGGTCTCATCAGACCACAGGACATGGTTCCAGTAATCCATGTCCTTAGTCTGCTTGTCTTCAGCAGGCTGTTTGTGGGCTTTCCTTCTGGGACGACAGCCATGCAGAGCAATTTGATGCAGTGTGCGGCGTATGGTCTGAGCACTGACAGGCTGAGCCCCCACCCCTTCAACCTCTGCAGCATGCTGTGGCAGCACTCGTATGTCTATTTCCCAAAGACAACCTCTGGATATGACACTGAGCACGTACACTCATCTTCTTTGGTTGACCATGGTGAGGCCTGTTATGAGTGGAACCTGTCTTCTTAAACCACTATATGGTCTTGGCCACCGTGCTGCAGCTCAGTTTCAGCGTCTTGGCAATCTTCTTATAGCCTAGGCCATCTTTATGTAGAGCAACAATTCTTTTTTTTCATATCCTCAGAGAGTTCTTTGCCATGAGGTGCCATGTTGAACCACCAGTGACCAGTATGCGAGAGTGAGAGCGATAACACCAAATTTAACACACCTGCTCCCCATTCACACCTGAGACCTTGTAACACTAACGAGCCACATGACATCGGGGAGGGGAAATGGCTAATTGGGCCCAATTTGGACATTTTCACTTAGTGGTGTACTCACTTTTGTTGCCAGGGGTTTAGACAATAATGGCTGTGTGTTGTTATTTTGAGGGGAGAGCAAATTTACACTTATACAAGCTGTACACTCACTACTTTACATTGTAGCAAAGTGTAATTTCTTCAGTGTTGTCACATGAAAAGATATAATAAAATATTTACAAAAATGTGAGGGGTGTACTCACTTCTGGGAGATACTATATTTATCTGTGAATTTAGCGGTTTAGCCTGAAGCAATCAAAACATTTATGGTGGAACGGTCTACCTTATCCCCACTTGCTTGGTGTAAAGAGGTTTCTAAAGTTTAAACTCCATCATTTAATGTTATTTTTTTTTTTTGTAGTTTTACAGGTGTCAAAATATCTGATTCCAGGCAGACCAGTAAATGGATTACTTTATCCAGTGTGTTTATTTTGTTTCAGAATTCATGAAATCTTCAACAGAAACCATGCTACTCCATGCTCAAAGGTTCTTACCTTCTATAGAAAGAATCCATTTTATCTGGAAGCCTTTTATATCGATTCTGCTACCATCCCTTATCCACAGCCTAAGATAGGTATGGGCTTTCCATCAATTGTTCTTCAGGCAATACAGATCTTAAAGGATAAGTTCACCTTTTTTGGGAAAAAAAAAAAAAGATGAATGCTCATTTTTTTGCAGGTTAAAAAAAGGTGAATTTTTTTTTTTTTTTTTTCTATGGAGCTTGTATATCATTGCAAACTCTCAGGATAGCTGTCTGCCTGCACTTCGAATATGGGCAGGCAGTTATTTGAGAGCAGGAAGATCGATGAACTAAGACGGCATTTACCAGCACCCTCACAATTCATTAAAAACTACAAGTCGTCAGCCGCGATGGCTGACAGTACTTGTAGTCTATTCAATAACAGGAAACTGAATAACGTGGCCGTGTGGGCGGAGCCCTGCAGCGCTTCGCTAATGTCGTTGTGACAGCAGGGGTACAGGGAGAAGATCGAAGGGAGAGGGGGTTTAATTCTTAACATGTTACATATTACACCCTAAATAGGACAGATAGGTCAGCTTGGCTTTTAAAGGGCTTTTGACCATTTTGTCACAAAGTGACATTTGTTTTCTATATGTAATTTTATTCCTGTTACTTAACCATGTCTCACCGGCTGTACCCTGATCCAGTCGGGCAGTCACATGATCGGAATGCCCACCTCCGCCTCCCGGTGTTTACAACCTCTTAAAGGGCTGGGAGGCTTCAGCGGGAAAAAGTTAAAGAACCATGTGTCATTGTATCATTTTAGGAATTACTGGCTGGGTGCCAAGGTCTAAATTTACTTTTTTTTGTTTTTTTGTGCTGGCTTATACATGAAATTTTATGGTATGAGGTTTTAGTTTTTTATTTTGAAACTTTACTTGTCTGGCTAAATCTTATTCTTTAGATAGCCTGCATATGCTTGTTTTGCTGTCAATCACAAAGTAGGGAAACCAGGATAATTATGACATGACTGTCTTGTGCATAAAGCTTTCAAAAACAAACCACCAATAGCAGCTCCTGAATTTTTCTCCGGTTCCTTCAAGTAACTTAAAATGGTTTTCAAACTTGTTTTCTTAATATTTTCGTTAACAGGCCAGTTTGTGGTTCACAATATTTTCTGCTGCAAAAGAAGGAGAGAAGGCAAAGGTGAAGGTGAAAGTTCGGGTTAATACACATGGCATTTTCAGTGTCTCCACGGCGTTTGTTGTAGAAAAGGTGGAGGTGGAGGACACTGAAGATCAGTCTGCAGAGAGTGCTCAAGATGTTAAGAATCAAGACACATATACTATGGAAGAGGATGTAAGTATTTCTGTACAGGTGAAAAGTAAATGTAGTTAATGGGATTATTGAAGTTTGAGTGTCTTGAGTGTAACATTTTGCTGAACAGATTAAGTGGGGCATAGGCCCAGACACTCTTTACTGGAAGTACTTTAGTCCTTTTAGTGTGTGAATGGTGCACAGATGACTACCCTTCAGGCTGATCCTTTTTGTGCTTGTAGTAGTATTATCACTGGTTGGTTAATCCTATTGACTCTTCTCATATGTTCTCATTTCCCATCTTATCTTTGTGCCTGGGTTTTTCTTTCAGAAGATTGTCCAGCAAGACCATGCAGAAGCTGGAACACAGCCCCAGGTACAAACTGATGGGCATCCCTCTCCTCCTCCTCTACCCGAACCCACCAGTGATGAACACAAAGTGACTGACACTGAAAAAGTGAGTGCTTTTTATGTTTTTTTTTTTTTTTTTTTTTTATTTGTGAATTAACTAATGTACTTATCTCCTGCCTAATCGAAGATTCCAGATAGCAACTTCCCAGCTGTGCTGTCCAAAAGAGTGTTCTCTTTAGACTAGTTACATAGCTGTCATGATTAACCAGTTGCTGACCTCCTCCTATCAGATGTACGGCTACAGGGTGGGTGGCTGCGCTATGCAAAATCGCGCGCATGTGATTTTGCATTCCTGGGTATGGGGAGTGCACGCACGCATGCTCCACCTTATCTGCGCTGTCATTGGCTCCTGAAGATGCCAATCACCGGGTCCAGACTAGCAATTCATGGCCAGGACTCGGTGATCGGCGGAGCAGCTGACAGGGGAGAGATCTGAGACTAAACAACATAGATCTCTCTCCTGTCAGCAGGGACATGCTGCTTTCTATCTCTCTGCAAAACCGATAAAAAAACCAGCACATCCCCTAGTACGGGTGTCGGCAACCCGCGGCTCTTTTTCACCTTTCCTGCGGCTCCGGAGCACACTGCCCACCAGGTGACAGGCAATAGGGCCGGCAAGCCGCGGCTCTTTTAATGTAGATCTTCTGTGTGCCGGGCGCCCCGCTGGCAAACATTGGCTGTCAGGATGTAGGCGGGGCAGCGTGACGAACTCCTCTCCTCTCACAGTCCGCCCTGAAGACCAGAACGGCGCGGGAAACCCAGCGAGAGGAGAGTGACGCGCGGAGCAAAGGTAAGTGAATTCACACATATAATGGGGACTATGAATTTACTATGGGGAATGAATTACTATGGGGGATGAATTACTATGGGGGATGAATTACTATAGGGGGGATGAATTACTATAGGGGGGATGAATTACTATAGGGGGGATGAATTACTATAGGGGGGATGAATTACTACAGGGGGGATGAATTACTATATGAGGGATGAATTACTATATGGGATGAATTACTATGGGGGATGAATTACTATGGGGGATGAATTACTATAGGGGGGATGAATTACTATAGGGGGGATGAATTACTATAGGGGGGATGAATTACTATAGGGGGGATGAATTACTATAGGGGGGATGTATTTTCAGTTTTAAAAATGTTTCTCTCAAAATAAATTTCAATCGTGGTTTTGGCGAGATTTGGCTCAGTCGAAAAAAAAGGTTGCCCACCACTGACCTAAGGCTATGATTGTGATTATGACTATACACTGTGGCCCTGATTAACCCTTTGCTTACTGGGCCCTTAAACCCCCTTCATGACCAGAGCGTTTTTTGCAATATATGCAGTGTCGGATTTGTTTTAAATGTTGCAATGGTTTTGCGGCTCCCAGTCTTTTTTTCCCTCTCGGAAATGGGTCCAAGTGGCTCTTTATGTCTTAAAGGTTGCAGACCCCTGCCCTAGTAAGACAGCACACCGTAAGCACAAAGCAGTACACAATTAAACCTTTGTCTGCCCAGTTTCATTAGTACAGTGTCAGTGTTTTTATTAGCACTGATTACTGGATTAGTGTCACTGTAGATGTTCGTGGCAGTTAGTTCCCACCCAGTGTCAGTGTCAGAATACCCTCCGTCCCACTATTAAGTTGCTGATCACAGCTATTACTAGTATAAAAAATAAATAAATAAAATTCTAGTGTGTTTGTGTGTATACATGTATGTATATGTGTGTGTATATATAGTGTTTGTATACTGCCATTTATAGACGTTATAACTTTTAACTTTTTTTTTATACTGCATGTGTTTTATAGCTAAATGTAAAAAAATATATAATTTTTTTTTTTTTTTTTTTCTCTAAAATTGTCAGCCTTTTTTTATAGCGCAAAAACTGCAGAGGTGATTATATACCACCAAAATAAAGCTCGATTTGTGGGGAAAAAGACACAAATTTAATTTATGTACAGCATTGCAAGACCGCGCAATGGTCAGTTAAGATAATGCAGTGCTGTATTGCAAAAAATGACCTGGTCATGAAGGGGGGTGAACCTTCCAGAGGGCAACTGGTTAAGTAAATCTGTCATGAGAGAAAGATGTTTATTCTCATGACAGTTTTCTTCTAGACTTGGTTTAACATGAGAAACAAGTTAAATCCCAGATGAAATCTTTATCTCAGCCTAAGTGTAAAGGCTGTTAATGATTCTGTACATTGACGTTCACAACTGAACAAATGGCTATTAATAATTTATTTTGCAAGTGCTCTAATTGGATGTATGTGCTTCAGGGAGAAGATTTGGAGATTACATCTTTTAAGATGCTTGTTTTCAATTACACAAAAAAACAAAAACAAAACCTTATTAAAAATAAAAGCGATAATTGGAAAAGGGGGACAATTTATTCCATCTAAATTCTCAGTCTTTCTGAGCCATAAGTTCCCAGTCCAGTAACGTAACGTATATGTCTGTCTATGCCTTCACTAGTCAGGTCCAAGGTCTATAACTGAGGTCTGGACTGAGACCTGATATGGATCAGAACTCTTCTCTGCTCAGATGATTTTTCCCAAAATGTACTTGCCACAAACTATGCTAAAACTGGCCCTTTCCCTATATGAAGAGCTTTCCCTGTAAAAGACCTTTAAATGTCTTTACCTCTGCCCACAAGACTTAACTGCTATGCAGTGAAATGATCTCTTGATATCAGCTGGGAAATGGAAACGCCTCCACTAGTGTTGATTTGCTAGGTCCTCTGCAACTATTGCTGATTCCTCCTACTCACCTCCATGTCACTATTGTATCCTGTAACAAGTGGAGGCCAAAGGAAGAAAGAAGGGGGGGGTACTGTATCACAAGCATCAGTCTCCCTATAGCCTTCAGCCCCAGTTCACACTATAACCCACATGTGAATCTCACAGGAACCACATTGCATTCCTGTGCAAGTCACATAAGATGCAGTGCAATTTGAGCAAATTAATTTTGAGTGGGCTCAAATCTCACTGCATGGCACCAAAACTTTACATGTACTTTTTTTGGAGCTGCATCGCAAGCATTATACATGGTCTTTTTGTACCATATGATCTGGTGCAGACAAATGCACTGCATTTTGAGTCCTGCGTGCGGTGTCATTTAACTTGCTGTTGACACCTGCAGGAGATTACAAGAGCAGTGCGATTGCAGAGCAGTGTAGGAAACATGCAGGGATTGTGGCATTTCCCGCATCACATAAGCGTCAACCTAGAATCAGGGAAGGAGCACTTGAACTTTGGCAAACCACAACTGTGGGAACTTATAGAGGTTTGTATTGTGTTTTTTGCATCATTTGCAAAATTTTTTTTTTTTTTTTTTTTTTGAGGTTTTATTTGTTGTTTTTTAGGTAAATGAAAAGAAGAGTGATAAACCTCCTGAAGCCAAGAAGGCAAAGATTAAGGTGAAGAATATTGAGGTGCCTGTTGAAGCCAACTTTGTGTGGAAACTAGGGAAGGACTTGCTTAATATGTACATTGAGAATGAGGTGAGTAAGAGGTCTAGTTTGATGTACATATGTTTTAGGTCACATGCTAGGTGTGAATGGGGCCTTAATGTGAAAAATTTCATGTTGATCCTTCTTGAATATTTTATCTCCCAGCCCCCTTCCCCCATGTAATGGAGATTAGGGGTGGGTGTTTTGTAGTCCTAAAACAATTCAGTAATAGGGTGACTACACTGTTCCTCCATTGATACAGTACAATGAGTGAGCTGGTCACTCTAGGACAGGAAGTGCTGATATACAGGATTATCAGGAAAAATAAAGGTAAAAATTAAAACTAATGCAGCCACCATATGTAAAGATTGGTGGTTCAGATACACTTTAATCTTGGTACTAGCATTGCTAGTTTGTACAATATGTGGACACAGTCTGAGCATCTCAGTCCTGCTCCTCCACTTTTTTTTTTTTTTTTTTTTTTTAATCGAGAGAAAAAAAAAAGGGTCAAAGGATTGCTGCACATCTAAAATGTTGAATCCATTGTACACAAATATATTAGAAGTACTCCATACTGATAACCGTTTCGGGCTTGTATGGTCACATCCTTCCTCCGATCAGAATACAACCAAGTACAACTTTATATATGAGACCTGTGGGAATGTCTGTTTGCATTGCACAATAAGGGTGCTGTCCACATCATCTGATTTTCATAGATTTATATATATATATATATATATATATATATATATATATATATATATATATATATATATATATATTTTCCCCATTAATATCTAAACTGCTGGCAACAAAAGTGAGTACACCCTTAAGTGAAAATGTCAAAATTGAGCCCAAAGTGTCAATATTTTGTATGGTCACCAATATTTTCCAGCACTGCCTTAACCCTCTTGGGTAGGGGTCCTCAAACTTTTTAAACGGGGCCAGTTCACTGTCCCTCAGACCGTTGGAGGGCCGGACTATAGTTTTTAAAAACAAAACAAAAAAAAACAAATGCGGACACAGTACAGGAGATGACCAGAGACTGCAGACATACGGCAGCGGGAATACTGGGCCGGCCACTCCATGAGACACACAGACATTTCCCCCCAAGTGTGTCTTACGGAGCTAAATAGTGCCCCATCATTGTGTCAGTGGGAAGAATCGTGCCCCATCATGTGTCCATGCCCCATTATTAGTGTCAGTGGGAGGAATAGTGCCCCATCATTGGTGTCAGTTCGAGGAATAGTGCCCCATCATTAGTGTCAGTGGGGGGAGGAATAGTGCCCCATTATTGGTGTCAGTGGGGGGGGGGGGATAGTGCCCCTTCATTGGTGTCAGTGGGGGAAGGGGATAGTGTCCCAACATTGGTGTCAGTGGGAGGAATAGTGCCCCATCATTGGTGTCAGTGGGAAGAATAGTGCCCCATCATTGGTGTCAGTGGGAGGAATAGTACGTCCCATCTTTGTGTCAGTGGGGGGAATAGTGCTACGTCATTGGTGTCAGTGGGGGGAGAATAGTGCCCGTCATCATTGGTGTCAGTGGGGGGAATAGTGCCCCATCATTGGTGTCAGTGGGGGGAATAGTGCCCCATCATTGGTGTCAATGGGGGGAATAGTGCCCCATCATTGGTGTCAGTGGGAGGAATAGTGTCCCATCATTGGTGTCAGTGGGAGGAATAGTGTCCCATCATTGGTGTCAGTGGGAGGAATAGTGTCCCATCATTGGTGTCAGTGGGAGGAATAGTGTCCCCATCATTGGTGTCAGTGGGAGGAATAGTTGTCCGTCATTGTGTCAGTGGAGTGGAATAGTGCCCCATCATTGGTGTCAGTGAGGGGATAGTGTAACGTCATTGTGTCAGTGGGAGGAATAGTGTTCCATCATTAGTGTCAGTGGGGGAATAGTGTCCCAACGTTGGTGTCAGTGGGAGGGAATAGTGTTCCTTCGTTGGTGTCAGTGGGGGGTGAATAGTGTTCCTTCGTTGGTGTCAGTGGGGGGGGTGGAATAGTGCCCCATCGTTGGTGTCAGTGGGGGGTTGAATAGTGCCCCATCGTTGGTATCAGTGGGGGTGGAATAGTGCCCCATTGTTTGGTATCAGTGGAGGGTGGAAAAGTGCCCCATCGTTGGTGTCAGTGGGAGGAATAATGCCCCATCATTAGTATCCGTGACACCAATGATGGGGTACTATTCCTCCCACTGACACCAATGACACGTAACTTGCTGACCCCTGCTCCAGCCTAGGTGCTACTGCAGCCAGCATACCTGGTTGCAGCAGCACCATCAGCATGGCACACTTGCCTGTCAGCTGTCCTTCACTCCGGCCTCCCTCTCACTCGATGTTCGCGGGGTCGCTCAGCTCCGCCTCCTCGCAGGTGATTGGCCGCCTGTGTGCCTTTCCTGAGTTACAGTTCTGGCGCCCAATCACCGGTGAGGAGGCGGAGCCAAGTGGCAGGAGTGAGGGAGTGGTCGGAGTGAATGAAGGAGCAGTGCTTCCTGGACTGGATCATCGTGGGACTGGGACCGGAGCCAGGTAAGGTACAGCAGCCCCCTGCCCACCCCCTGTACTTAGTCTCTTCCTGTCCCGCCCCTGCCGGCGGGCCGGATAAATGGCCTCAGCGGGCCGCAGTTTGAGGACCCCTGCTCTTGGGCATGGAGTTCGCCAGAGCTTCACAGGTTGCCGCTAGAGTCCTCTTCCACGACGACATCACGGAGCTGGTGGATGTTAGAGATCTTGCGCTCCTCCACCTTCCGTTTGAGGGTGCCCCACAGATGCTCAATAGGGTTTAGGTCTGGAGACATGCTTGGCCAGTCCATCGCTTTTACCCTCAGCTTCTTTAGCAAGGCAGTAGTCCTCTTGGAGGTGTTTGGGGTCATTATCCTGTTGGAATATTGCCCTGCAGCCCAGTCTGGAACTGTAGCTCCCCAGTGCCGGCAGCACTCATGAGCCCCAGACCATGACACTCCCACCACACTTGACTGTAGGCAAGACACACTTGTCTTTGTACTCCTCACCTGGTTGCCGCCACACACACCTGACACCATCTGAACCAAATAAGTTTATCTTGGTATCATCAGGACATAGTTCCAGTAATCCATGTCCTTAGTCTTGCTTGTCTTCAGCAAACTGTTTGCGGGCTTTCTTGTGCATCATCTTTAGAAGAGGCTTCCTTCTGGGACGACAGCCATGCAGACCAATTTGATGCAGTGTGCTGCTTATGGTCTGGGCACTGACAGGTTGACCCCCCCCCCCCTTCAACCTCTGCAGTAATGCTGGCAGCACTCATACGTCTATTTTCCAAAGACAACCTCTGGATATGACACTGAGCACGTGCACTAAACTTCTTTGGTCTTCTTTGGCAAGGCCTGTTCTGAGTGGAACCTGTCCTGTTAAACCACTGTATGGTCTTGGCCGCTGTGCTGCAGCTCATTTTCAGGGTCTTGGCAATCTTCTTATATCCTAGGCCATCTTTATGTAGAGCAACAATTCTTTTTTTCATATCCTCAGAGCGTTCTTTGCCATGAGGTGCCATGTTGAACTTCCAGTGACCGGTATGAGAGAGTGAGAACGATAACACCAAATTTAACACAGCTGCTCCCCATTCACACCTGAGACCTTGTAACATTAAGGAGTCACATGACATCGGGGAGGGAAAGTGGCTAATTGGGCCCAATTTGGACATTTTCACTTCGGGGTGTACTCACTTTTGTTGCCAGCGGTTTAGACATGAATGGCTGTGTGTTATTTTGAGGGGAGAGCAAATTTACACTGTTATACAAGCTGTACACTCACTACGGTTTACATTGTAGCAAAGTGTCATTTCTTCAGTGTTCAAACCAAGCATCATAATGGGGAACAAAGGGGATTTAAGTGACTTTGACCGCGACATGGTTCTTGGTGCCAGACGGGCTGGTCTGATTATTTCAAAAACTGCTGATCTACTGGGATTTTCATGCACAATCATCTTTAGGGTTTACAGAAAATGGTCCCCAAAAGAGAAAATATCCAGTGAGCAGCAGTTGTGTGGATGAAAATGCCTTGTTGATGTCCGAGGAGAATGGGCAGACTGTTTGATAGAAGGGCAACAGTAACTCAAATAACCACACATTACAACCAAAGTATTCAGAATACCATCTCTGAACTCACAACATGAACCTTGAAGCAGATGGGCTACAGCAGCAGAAAACCACACCAGGTGCCACTCTGTCAGCCAAGAACAGGAAATGAAGGCTACAGTTTGCACAGCATCACCAAAATTGGACAAGATTGGAAAAATGTTGCCTTCTCTAATGAGTCTCTATTTCAACTGTGACATTGATAGTAGAGTCAGAATTTGGCGTAAACGTGAAAGCATGGATCCATCCTGTCTTGTATCAATATTTCAGGCTGGTGCTGGTGGTGTAATGGTGTGGGCGATCTTTTTCTTGGCACACTTTGGACCCCTTAGTACCAACTGAGAATTGTTTAAATGCCACGGCCTACCTGATTATTGTTGCTGCCCATGTCCATCCCTTTATAGAGTACCCATTTTGTCGTCATGTCACAAAGCTTAAATCATCTCAAACTGGTTTCTTGAACGTGACAATGAGTTCACTGTACTCCAATGGCCTCCACAGTCACCAGATCTCAATTCAATAGAGCACCTTTGGGATGTGGTGGAACAGGAGATTTGCATCATGGATGTGCAGCCAACATATCTGCACCAACTGCAAGGGTGGCACAGTGGCTTAGTGGTTAGCACGTCTGCCTTGCAGTAAATGGGTCATGGGTTTGATTCCTGACCATGGCGCCTCCTGCATGGAGTTTGCATGTTCTCCTTGTGCTTGCGTGGGTTTACGTTGGGTGCTCCGGTTTCCTCCCAAACTCCAAAGACATGCTGGTAGGTTAATTGGATCCTGTCTAAATTGGCCCTAATATGTGTGTGTATGAATGTAAGTTAGGGACCTTAGATTGTACACCCCTTGAGGGTTAGGGACTGATTTGAATGTTCAATATATATGTGTAAAGCGCTGCGTAAATTGGCAGCGCTATATAAGTACCTGACATAAATAAAACTGCGTAATGCTATCATGTCTATATGGACCAAACTCTGAGGAATGTTTCCAGCACCTTGTTGAATCTATGCCGCAAAGAATTTAAGGCAGTTCTGTAGGCAAAAGGGGGTCCAACCCGGTAATAGCAAGTTGTACCTAATAATGTTTAGCTGCTTAGTGTAACCTCTCACAATCATGCACACAGGGAGAGGCGCGGTTCTCCATTTTGCTCCAAACTTCTGCATTTTGGTATTTCTCTTAAATTCCAAATCGGTCTCTCTCTCCTCCGATTTTCCCCCCTCCCTCAGCAATGCGTTCAGCGTACCTAGCTAGCCCCTGCCTTTATACAATCCTTTTACCAAATAAGGCAATTGGGTTCTGTTGTAAGAGACCCCGTTGATTTTGGGTAGCAAAAGAGGTTGTTTTGTGTGTAGAAAGAAAATGAACCTTCTGCGTTTTAACATCTAGCAGACAGAGAGGGGAATCTCGCTGTAACAACGAAATTGCGTGCGAGACCAGAAATCCCTTTTTAGCTCATCAGATTTGAAACTGCTTAACCCCAGGCATCTATTTGGTAAGTACTTATTTACCTAAGAGAGGCCTGTAATTGGCATCATAGGTAGACCTCAACTATGAGAGACAAAATGATAAAAAAAAAATCCAGACAATCACATTGGCTGATTTGGAAAGAATTTATTTGCAAATTATGGTGGAAAATAAGTATTTGGTCACCTACAAACAAGCACGATTTCTGGCTCTCACAGACCTGTACCTTCTTTAAGAGGCTCCTCTTTCCTGCACACATTACCTGTATCAATGGCACCTGTTTGAACTTGTTATCAGTATAAAAGACACTTGTCCATAACCTCAAACAGTCACACTCCAAACTCCACTATGGTGAAGACCAAAGAGCTGTCGAAGGACACCAGAAACGAAATTGTAGACCTGCACCAGGCTGGGAAGACTGAATCTGCAATAGGCAAGCAGCTTGGTGTGAACAAATCAACTGTGGGAGCAATAATTAGAAAATGGAAGACATACAAGACCACTGATAATCTCCCTCGATCTGGGGCTCCACGCAAGATCTCACCCCGTGGGGTCAAAATGATCACAAGAACGGTGAGCAAAAATCCCAGGACCACACGGGGGGATCTAGTGAATGACCTGCAGAGAGCTGGGACCAACGTAACAAAGGCTACCATCAGTAACACACTACGCCGCCAGGGACATGTCCCCCTGCTTAAACCAGTACATGTCCAGGCCCCTCTGAAGTTTGCTAGAGAGCATTTGGATGATCCAGAAGAGGATTGGGAGAATGTCATATGGTCAGATGAAACCAAAATAGAACTGTTTGGTAGAAACACAACTCGTTGTGTTTGGAGGAGAGAGAATGCTGAGTTGCATCCAAAGAACACCATACCTACTGTGAAGCATGGGGGTGGCAACATGCTTTGGGGCTGTTTCTCCGCAAAGGGACCAGGACGACTGATCCATGTTACAGGACAGAATGAATGGGGCCATGTATCGAGAGATTTTAAGTGCAAACCTCCTTCCATCAGCAAGGGCATTGAAGATGAAACTTGGCTGGGTCTTCCAACATGACAATGATCCAAAACATACTGCCCGGGCAACGAAGGAGTGGCTTCGTAAGAAGCATTTCAAGGTCCTGGAGTGGCCTAGCCAGTGTCCAGATGTTAACCCCATAGAAAACCTTTGGAGGGAGTTGAAAGTCCGTGTTGCCCAGCGTCAGCCCCAAAACATCACTGCTCTAGAGGAGATCTGCATGGAGGAATGGGCCAACATACCAGCAACAGTGTGTGCCAACCTTGTGAAGACTTACAGGAAACGTTTGACCTCTGTCATTGCCAACAAAGGATATATAACAAAGTATTGAGATGAACTTTTGATATTGACCAAATACTTATTTTCCACCATAATTTGCAAATAAATTCTTTCCAAATCAGCCAATGTGATTGTCTGGATTTTTTTTCTCATTTTGTCTCTCATAGTTGAGGTCTACCTATGATGCCAATTACAGGCCTCTCATCTTTTTAAGTGGGAGAACCTGCACAATTGGTGGCTAACTAAATACTTTTTTGCCCTAGTGTGTGTGTGTGTGTGTGTGTGTGTGTGTGTATGTGTGTGTATATATATATATATATATATATATATATATATATATATATATATATATATATATATATATATATATATATATATATATATATATATATATGATAGAGAGAGAGATCTCTCTCTCATACACTATATATATACATATATATATAGAGATATATATATATATATATATATATATATATATGTATGTTACTTTTTTTTTCTGTAAATATTTCTACTGCACCCTTCAGTAATAAATCTTACTTTCTGAAAGTGTTGAACTGTTTTTATAGCTCTTTAATGTGATTTATGAATCCCTGCCGCTGAAGAGCGCTACTATGAGTGTTTTAACCCTCTGTATAACCTGTCCGTGGAGATAGCGGTATACCGACGATTAACCAATCATCCTAGTGTATTGCTGAGTTTCCTCTTTCTCTGTACAAAAAGGAGGTGGTGGCAGTGTGAAGGGTTAATTGCGTAATTAACCTGATCCAGTAACAATTGCATTCAGGCTGCTGGTACATAGATTGTGGTCCAATTAGCTGGAAAATCGTTGTGCAGGGTGCAGCTGGGGCGTGGCATTGTTGCGCACGTGACATCGTGGTTTCAGATTGGCTAGTCCTTCGGTCACGAGTTTGGTGAGAAGGGCAGGGGTCTGACGTGCGATCGTCGCATAACCTACTTAAATTCGAGAGTGACAGAATGCCTGCCTGTTTTCAGGCCTTCCTGCTGCCATGTTGTAAGCTGTAACAAGGGATGAGCTAATTGAATTGCACATCCACGATCAGTCTTGATTAAAACCGGTCGCAAAGCAATGGATGGTCCTTTCTTCACAATTACATAGAAATACATAGATCTGAAGTTTGAATATATGCCGACTTGTGTTTTTCATTATTCAAATTAACATTTGCTTCATTCAGCAGTTTACAAATTGTTATACTCATCCAGCAGAGCTTGTTGTTTTGTAAGGTGTAGGCACAAGTTGGGCCACAGCACCACTAGTTAGCTTCTCTTGTTCTGTTGAAAGGGTTACTGGGCCAGCTCTGTCTTTCATTAGTAATTGCTGTTCTTGAGTCATTTGCAGTAAGACGTCATAATTGCAGGATTTGTCTGTACTCTGTAAACCTTGTTCAGCTATGTCCTCCGTTTCACATTCGGTGAGTAATATCCTATAATTACTCGTGTTGTGGCAGTGATAATTAGTAGCTTGGTGTATAGGATTACTCTTCCAAATGCACCTGCCTTCTAAGAGGGATATGTGCCTCTGCTATGTGAACAAACATCCTCAAATACAGCAAATTACTGCAGACAAGTAGCCCACTAAACATCTTGTCTTCTGGTATTTGTAGGGTAAAATGATCCTCCAAGATAAGCTGGAGAAGGAGAGGAACGATGCCAAGAATGCTGTTGAGGAACATGTTTATGAATACAGAGATAGACTCTCTGGACCCTACAGCAAATTCATCTCTGAGGAGGT